ATTATGGGGAAGAGGAATAGAGGACTACACAAAAATCAGGGAATTGGGGAAGACAACCTCTCCTTTTGTTCTGCCAGCACTAATGCTTTGGTGGGCCAGAAACAACTGTGAACAGGAGTCCTACTGTCTTCAAAAGGCAGAGACTGGATTCAGATGGTGGGAGAGAGTTGCATGATTTAGCTATGTGTTCTGCAACAATTCTTCCCTCCCTTTCATCTGATCCTACTGGCAATCTCTACCACTTGGGTGTAAGCAAGAAAGTGATCTTCACTTAATCTTTTCATGTGAAGGCTGACAATCCTAATCCAGATGTTTTTGATGAATATCCAGTACTGTTGAAACACCGGTGAATGCCAAATGTAATTCTTGTTTGTAATTTTTTAGTGATCCAAAAGAGTTATTATGCAACTCAGAACTGTGATTCTTATCATTCACCCATAAATAACTGAAATGTGGGAGAAATTACATACAGTAATTGTTTGGGAACATTCACAAAATTAATCTTGGATTATCAGCATTTGTGTGTGAATGACAAAAGTCAACAAATTTGAGCCATTCAATGTATTTAATATGTGGTAGCATATAGTATATAATATAATAATAATTAAAAAACAAACAAACCCTAAATTCTCTAAATTAGTCTGCAGACTGTTTCATCTGAAAACTGAACATTGCAACTCAGTCTAAACAAAAATATAACTACCTGTTCAAGTTCTAACACAGGAAGCAATAAATAAAGGTTTGGTGACCTTTTCTGTTTGAAGTAACAGAATGTAGGAGATATTAATTTTAAAATGAAAAAAATACTGTTTAAATGACTATTTAAACTAACATTCAAGTCTGATGCTATGATGTTTTGAAAGTGCAGTTATAGTATATTGTATCACAATATTTTTATAATGCCTTGATCTTGCTCATTTCATGCATGCATGACAGGATTCCATAAGAATTCGTAAGATAATTTTATGATAAGCATCCATTTTAATTTATCCTAACCTTGCAAAACTGCTCTTTCATCTTCCAAATTACTTTTCAATGTGTTCTCTAGGACACACACAAACTGTAAAAAGTTGTCCTTGTTTATTAGACCATTTTTAAAACCATAACTGGCAAATACCATTATTAAAAATAATTAGAATGTTGCAGAATAGTGACCAAACTTTCATTTTCTTTCCCCAGAGGAGGCTTTTATTGTACAATCATCTTAACTGTTTCACAGAGCATGAGAGATGTAGGTGGTGTGGTGTGCAGGTTGCAATCCTCTTGCCTTTTCACATGGATTCTTTTGTGTTTTTTTTTCTTATCAGAAATAAATCTATGAGATGAATAGTTGCACAATGACTTTTGATTGATAGCACTAAGAACTGTGTATCTGAAACAGCCCAGATTTATTCAACAAGCAGAGTGTTAAGCAACCAGTTTTTGAAAATAATGCTTCTATATTAAAGACTAGGAATGAGCTGGTCATGGCGAATTCTTAGCAGATGATTTTTATAAATGAAGAATTGGCATGAATTTCTGGTATCAAAAATACCTTTCTTTTTAATTCTGTAGAATAGTTCATTAGTTAGTCCGTTGTAGCAAAAAAGAAGGGTTATTTTGAGATACCTTTAAGACTAGTAGATTTATTATAGCATGAGCTTTCACAGATGCACAGCTGATTTTCTTGGATACAAATATAATTCAGAATGGACAGCTAGAACTTAAGAAGAGCTTTCAATTGTAGCCTTATTTTACTAAACACATTTCGGAACAATCTTTCACTTATAATGGGATTCTGTAATTGCATTTTAAAAACTGTACACTGGAGCTAATTAGAGCATGCCAGTGATACATTTCTTGGAATCTGTCGGGTGTTGTTTTAGCAGTCTATGCACGCTGATCTTACTCACTTTCATTCATGAATGAGCCTGTTCCGTTAAGATCCATGGAACTCACTCCCTAGCACAAGCTATCGTAGGGAGTGGGCACATCACCCACCACCCTGCAGATGTCTCTGTTTGCAGCCATGTGGGCCGCTGGCATTGTGGTGTGCCTGCCTGGCTATTTGTAGCTCTGTTCGCAGCAATAGGGGAGTATGCCTGTGGCGTCCCTTACTCCACCCTCCAGAGCCTGGAGGAGTGACCAGCAGATCAGTGGGGGAAATGGAAGTCAGTGGGCAGTGGAGAGCCAGGGAATCTGGCAGGACAGCCACCGCTGAGGAGAAATATTCCCAAAGGGAGGTGTCAGGGAAAGGAAAACTCGTGATTTTGGCTCATGTCCCGTTCAATGAAAATCCATTGAAAATAATGCCTCGGTTTATGAATTTTTTTTCCGCAATTTTCTAAATGACTAGTGTTCTTGTTTGCCCCTTTCTACCCTCCCCACCCCCTACTACTAAAAGCCTCTCGATCTGCTCAGGGAACTGGTGACCTTCCTGAAGACGTTCAGCAAAGGAGGAAGGTTTCTTCATCCATAATCCTCCAGCCTTCCTCTTCAGGCAGGCAGACCTGGCCAACCAGGGACTAGATTTCCCACAGCTTTCCCCCTTGGCTCATATCCTGTTCAATGAAAATCCATTGAAAATAATGCCTGTTTATGATTTTTTTTGCAACACGAAGCAAGTTTCCCCAAGATGCATTGTACATGGGAGGTTTATAGCGCTGCCCCCATACTTGCTGGAGTCTGTGCGTAGCGTGTGGCATCGAGCGTGGAGGTGTTGGAGCAGTTTTTGCATCGGGCTTTGGTGCCATTCTGGAATTTTTCTGCAACGGTTTTGGGACTTTTTGGAACTTTTTCAGTGTATTTCTCAAGTGGTGGAAAGGTAGACAGCTGAGCTTCATCGTTTGCATGCCTTTTACTGTGTTTTCTGTGTGTTTTATGACTTTTTTCTGACCTATGGAACGGATTAAATGGTTTTCAGTGTGTTCCTATGGGAAACCATGTTTCGGTTTAAGAATTTTTCGCAATACGAAACTTCCCAGATAACACATTAAATTCATAAACCGAGGTACCACTGTACATGAAAAAAAATAAAACATCCCTTGAAAATAAGCCCTAATGTGTTTTTTGGAGCAAAAATTAATATATTTTCGGGAAAACACAGTATATAGAATATAAGTTATTTTTCTAAGGAGACGAGCACTGGCAATCCCTCCTGTTCAGTTGCCTGTGAAGGAAGAGCAAAACAATATATGACAACCTCTTCCTGAGCACAACACAGTTGGCTTTTGAAGGTCTCTGGACCAAACTTATATATTTGTCCTCAGTTGACTAACAGATGGATCTACTGCTAAGCTTGTTTCTATTTTGCAAAATCTCTTCCTTTTCAAGTAGCCATGACAAAATGTGATCAGCTGCCTGGGCCCACTGACTAATATCCACCCATGGGGCGGGAGCTCTGTCTCCGCAGCCTGGTCCTGCCAAGGCCACGGACAAGCACCAGGCTGCGGACTGGGG